GAACAACTTTTCATTTGGGAGACTTGTTTTTTCAAACTAACTTTGTGAACCTATCCACTGTTGACTGACATTTGCTTCATAAACTACATGTGAACACTGGCTGTGTGTAGAGGATAAAAGAATCAGGTAGGTGCTTTTATTTCCCGTATCACAGAGGACTGGTGTCACTTCAGTTTCCTCAGTCCCAAGATGCTCCTGGAACCAGTGTAGTCTGTAGTGCGGGAATGGGAGTTTAAGCTGGGGTGGAGCTTGTGTGGTTGTTAATTTAGGTTTTTAAAACAAAGATTTAGTCAGGAAGCAAATGTGTCATTTCAGTCCATTATGTGGTCTATATTAAAGTTGCCTTTTCTTTCTTTTTTTTTTTAAAGCTTAATACAGTTTTTTAGTAAAATGAAGAAGTGGATGGACATGTCAAACCTACCACAAGAATTTCGTGAGCGGATAGAAAGGCTAGAAAGAAATTTTGAAGTATCTACTGTAATTTTTAAAAAATTTGAGCCCATTTTTTTAGATATATTTCAAAATCCATATGAAGAGCTACCAAAGTTGCCACGGAGCAGAAAGCAGCGGTAAGACCCTTAATCTCCTGTATTTGTGATGCAAAATTATTAGGAGTCTTTAATTTTAAAAGTTGGCATTAAAAAAAAGTTGGCATTTACCTTTCTGCAGAGACTTAAATTTCTTTTGAAATTCATGGACAATTACTTATATTTCAAAATAAGGGTAATACTTTAGTCATTTTTTCTTTAATCTGATTGTTGGATGTATATTGGACAGCTGCACAGGGTCTGCTTCTGAGCCATCTGTCATCCTGAGTGGAACTGTGCATGCAGTTTGACCCTTTCGTTTATATTTGCTTTCAAGCAGGTTAGTCAGACCAAATAAAACAGTACACAAAAACAAAACTGTTTTTCTTTTAGGAGGATTCCTTGCAGTGTTAAGGACCTCTTTAATTTCTGCTGGACACTCTTTGTTTACACTAAGGGTAAGCTACACTCTCAGTGCTTTCTACTCTGGGATGTGGTGATGTTTGACATGAGAGGTTTCTGGACTGTAACTTTTTTTTCCTTATGAAGGTAATTTTCGTATGATTGGTGATGATTTAGTAAACTCATATCATTTACTTCTGTGCTGCTTGGACCTGATTTTTGCCAATGCTATAATGTGCCCAAATAGACGAGACTTGTTAAATCCATCATTTAAAGGTAAGATACTTATTTTTGAAAAGTAATTATTAATTTTTAGAAAAAGTGTAAAAATTGACTGTTGTTCTGTCTCTCCTGTTCCCTTCATGCTTTGTCAAACTAGGTCTACCGTCTGATTTCCATGCTCCAGACTTCAAAGCTGCCGAAGAACCTCCCTGTATCATTGCTGTACTTTGTGATCTGCATGACGGACTTCTAGTAGAAGCAAAAGGAATAAAGGAACATTACTTCAAGCCGTATATTTCAAAACTCTTTGATAAGAAGGTACTATCATTAAATAAGATCTGACCTCTAAGGTCAGGAGAAACCTGAAAGTAAAGAATCTTCTAGGACCCATGGTCAGTTATCCCAGGTCTGGGGCTAGAGAAATGGCTTTAAAGTTAAGAGCACTTATTGCTCACGCAGAAGACCCAGGTTCAATTCCCAGTACCCACATGGAAGCTCACAACTTCCTGTAGCTTCAGGTTTCCAGGATCCAGTGCTCTTGAGTTCCACATCTCAGTGTCTGCTGTGATGTAACACTGTCCTCTAGTCACAAGAGAGACCCAGGGCTTGAAGGACATGCTCGCTTACTTGGATGTCATGTCAGGGAAATGCAGAGCCAGAAACTGACAGAAACCAGCACTCTCTTGATAAAGGATCCTGAACAGCACAAGGTCAGAGTAAATCGATTGATTTTTGACGTAGGTAGTTTCAATAGCTGCTGTTCACTAAATCTATTGTAATATTATGACAATTGCTTTTTTTTTTCTTTTGGATTTTTAAGACTGGGTCTTACTATTTAGTTCTGCCTATCCTGAGAATCACTTTGTAGACCTTGAAGTCACAGAAATCTGCCTGCATCTGCCTTCCAAGTATTAAAGGCATGCGTAACTACACTCAGATACAACCATTGCTTTAATTCCACTTAAATAAAGCAGAAAACTATTTATAGGCTACTTCCATACATTCTGAATTTTTCTCTTTAATGAGTTGTTTTTATATTTCTGAATTAGTTTATCATGGAAGAGTTATTAACTTATTTCTTGAACATTGTGTCACATAATTCAACTAGGCCTTGTCATTTCTCTTCAGTAAAAGGATTTGGTTTAACTCATCATTCTGGTCCCCCACTTAGTATTAGGAGATTTTTATTTACTTATTTGTTATTATTTCTGTTGTTTGGTTTTTGAGACAGGGTTTCTCGGTGTAACCATGGCTGTTCTGGAAATAGTTCTCTAGACCAGGTTGGCTCCAAACTCATAGAGAGCCACCTGTGTCTGCCTCCCAAGTGTTAGGATCAAAGGTGTGTCCTACCACTGGTTTAAATTTTTTTTTTAAGTATTATTATTATTGTGTGTGTATGGATATCTCTTGTATATGTGAGTGCACGTGTCACAACATGTGTGGAGAGCACAGAACAACTTTATGGGGTCAGTTCTTTGCTTCCTCCTTTAAATGGGTTCCAGGCATCAAATTCAGATTACCAGACCTGTGTGGCAGGTCCCTGTATCTGTTGAGCCACCCCACAAACCCATGCAATTTTCATAAACACAAAGCCTTTCCTAACTGGTTTTGTCTCCCTCCATACTTTGTATTTAGTCTTCCCTGCCATGGAGGATGTATAAATCATGGCTTTATGTAAGCATGTTTAACCTCTCCAGCAGCATAAACATTTAAAGAATTTATTGTGCAGATGCAGTATACCCTGGTCCAGTGACCCCATACCTCATTTTGTCAGTATAACTGGTTATTGTCTTGGCATAGTTATTATAACAATTTCTTTCATTCCAGAAACAAAAACCATCATCTAAACCATCATTCTGATTTTGAAAATACTTGGAGGCTAGGCTATTCAAGTGTTTGTATTGCACAATTAGATAGGATAGTATTTCAGCTCTAGTGCTAGAGGTGTTGTTTGGCTCGTATTGTAGGATGATACTTACTTTTTATCTTGTTGACAAGACGCTATAGCAATTCAGGTTGGAATTTCTCTGTAGTGAACTATTACCAGTAAAGGATGGCTGTCACTTTTTGGATGGCAATTCAAGTGTGCATTCAGCTCTCTACATTCATATAAGTTGGACCCTTGAATTTTCATGTTGTAGCATAACAGCAACCTAAGTATGGTAAGATACGGAGCTACTGATAACTATAGTTTTCTTCTCACCAGCAATAGGAATCAAGGTGTTCCTTCTCCCCATTTGTGGTACTGAAGATCAAATCCAGGGCTATGTAAATGCTAGGCTAGTATTGTACCACTGAGCTAACTATCCAACCTCTAAATTTCCTTTTAATTTTTTTATTTGTTTGGTTTTTGTTGTTGTTGTTGTGTTTGTTTTTGTTTTGTTGTTTTAAGACAGGTCTCATGTAATTTAGGCTAGCCTCAAACTCAATGTGGAGCCAAGGGTAACCTTAAACTAATGATCCTCTTGCCTCTACTTCTCAAGTTCTGGGATTCCAAGCGTGTGCTACTCCTGTTAAAGCGTGGCACTCCTGTTAAACTTTTTGCTTGCCTGAAGCATGTTCTCGTTGACTCATACGGTTATGGATATGGAGAATGGATCTCTCTTACCAGAATTACTGGTGCAATTATTTGTGAAGAATGCTTTCTCAGTGCAGAGAATACATGTCAGTGGGATGCTTAGCCACAAGGGGACCATCTGTATCAAATCCCCTCCCAAGGCTCAGGGAGTGAAGTTCGGAAGTGGTGGAAGAATTCTAATACCCAGAGGTCAGGGAGGACTGGAGCAAAACTATCTTTTAGACATGACAGAACCACTCAGTGAGTTCACAGCAGCTGTGGTTGCCTGCACAAGATCAATCTAGTCAGCATTCTAGTAGAGCCCCCCATTCCTAACTAAAGAACTGCTTAGGTGATAGCTTCAGGGAAGCGGGGTCGGGGTGGGGTTGTAAGAGTCTGTGTTTTTAAAGGTGGGGCTCATGGTAGGTTAACCACACTGCAGTGGATGGCCCTATGGCTATGCCCAAGTATATGAGCAGCACAAGTTGGAGTCAGTGGGTTATTTAATAAAGTGGAGGGAGGTGGAGTAGATTTGGGAGGAGTTAGGAGGGGATAAAGAAAGTAACATTTATGCAGTTCTTTTTTTTTTTTTTAAAGATTTATTTATATGAGCATACTGTAACTGTCTTCAGATACACCAGAAGAGGGCATCGGATCCCATTACAGATGGTTGTGAGACACCATGAGGTGGCTGGGAATTGAACTCAGGACCTCTGGAAGAGCAGTCAGAGCTCTTAACCACTGAGCCATCTCTCCAGCCCGCATTTATGCAATTCTTAAAGGATTTAAAAAAATATTTTTAAAATTTTGTAAAGCATTGCTGTAGACTAACCTTGAAGTATTTTGAAAATTTGTCTTTAGGGCTGCATAGTACAATGGTATAGTGCTCACTTAGCACGAGTGAAGTCCTGCATTCAGTGTCTAGGACCGTTAAAACCAAAGTGCCTTGATTTTACTTTACTTGGGAGATGATGCTAGAGAACAATGAAATTTGACTTTAATTTGGTTTAATAGCCTGGCAGTGGTGGCGCACGCCTTTAATCCCAACACTTGGGAGGCAGAGGCAGACAGATTTCTGAGTTCCAGGACAGCCAGGGCTATACAGAGAAATCCTGTCTCGAAAAACAAAAAAAAACAAAACAAAAAAATGGTTTAATAGTTCATGATAGAGGTTTTACTGGCCTAAATGTTCTTTAAAATACATATATATATACATATATATATATATACGTATATATATACATATATATAATATACATAATATATATAATATATATTATATATATACACGT